CTTACTGCATCCTCTGTGAAGATCCATTGCTATCTCCTGGTGCCAGCCATTGCACATATTATTTCTTTTTGCATCCACTTTCCTGGCCAATTTCCCTTCATCCTTTAGGAAATATGCTGTGACCACTTACCCACACTCCCCAGGCTGAGTAAGGTGCTCTTTCTGTGGTTCCATGACTCCCTAAGCTTCTCTCTATCAGGAAACTTATTATATACCACATTGTAATTCCCAGTTTCGGGATCTTTCTCCCCTTCCAGGGTAAGAATTCCTTGAGTACAAAAACCAGTCTTGGTTACTTTGAGGGTGCTTGAAATCTGATACTAAGTAAGTGTTAAGTAAACAATGGTTGAATAATGAATTAAACAATGAGAAAAATGCCAGGCTCAAAGGTGTCTCTTATTTTTCATTCAGCTTCTACTAAAGTGAGCATTGCTATTCCTGCATCCACATGACATCTCCCACAGTAGCTCTGTGGCATCCCCAGTTTTTCCTCCAAGCTCTGATGCTTTTTCCAGTCACGATGGCAAAGCTCACAGGGTCACAGCTTCTGCAGATTACCCCCAACCAGGCTTAATTAACTAGATTAACCTTGAAAAGGACTTAGAGTGCCAAGACTTCAGGCCGGGATATTAACACAGCCCAGGCGGAAGTCCCAGAAGCCAAGGCACAAATTGGACCAATTCATCTAGTCCCTGGGGCTGGGTCAGCTCCTTGATGAGTACTGGACTTTCTGGTAGGCTCATGAGCATGAGAGTCTAGACCTCCATCCTCTGTGGAAATGGACGGACTGGGGAGCTGGCAAGAGCGAGGACAGAACGGATCATTCGCAGTCCGGGTTGCAGGTGTAGAATAAGGACCTGGGGCATGAGCCCTTGACAGAGACACATTCCTTCAACTTTCCTGGCTTCCATGCCCTCAGTTATGCAAGAGAAAGAGGTTCACCATGCTGCATGCCCTACAGAGGGTGACAGGCATCCACTGAGACACTGGGCTAGAAAGTCCTCTCTGCACAGGAGGAGCTATTAGCGGGATGGAGAAAGTAAGTGTCAGGGATTCCCCAATCTCATGGCCAAGTGCCATTTCTGCTTGTGAATATGGGACCCGGGCCAAACTTAGAGATTCAGATCCTTTCCAAACACACAAGGCCTGTCCCGCCTGCCTTACAGTGAAATTACCAAGATTTGCTTTGTGCCCCCACTTATCCCTTCCTTCTATTTTCAAAGTGTTTTCCAGATTTCTCTCCCTTTTTTTTCTCAGTTGATTCTTATAAATAGGCAGGGCAGCTGGTGCTCTTGCCATGTAATATCCTGGGGTCTTAATTTCTTCATAACAGTGAAGATGAAAACACCTGTCTGTGGTTTTTTTTTTTTTTAAGTTTCAATAAGACAATAAGTAAGAAGTGCTTAGCGTCCGGCATGCAGGAGGTGCTTGATAAAAGCTAGTTGCTATTATGATCAAATTCCATGAAGAGAGCACTGGAATGGGAGTCGCAAATCCACAATTCTAGTCAGAGATAGGATGTGAGTCCCTGTTTGTCTTGGGCAAGTGCTCTTACCTCTTGGGCTCTCAGTTTCCCCAACTCTGCACAGAGGTGGGCTGGATCTGCGGCCCTTCTCTCTACCATTGTTTGTCTCTGATTCCCAAACAGCATTGAACTCAATCTAGTGCTTGGGCACCAGGATCTGCCCCAACCCAGTTCCAAATGAGCACTTTATGGCGAGCAGCTGGCAGATCAGCTAGGCGAGTCATGCTTTGATGGGAAGCAGGGAAGCAGTATCTTGAGGAGTGCTGCAGAAAGTTCATCCCTGACTCTTCTCTGAGCCTTGGAATCTGCCGGTTGCCATGACTACGAAAGCAGCATCCAAGCTCTGGGTAGCTGATTAGCAGGAAAGGAGCCAGGAGGCCTTGAGGAATCCAGCACTCTCTCTCTGTGATGTGGAGTGTGCTGGCCCTTGACTCCACTGTTTTAGCTGTCCCCTAAGATCTCACCTTCTTTTAAGAATTTTTAAAAATGCAACATCGGAGGGAAATGAAGCAGCTGCTGGTACTCCTCGGCAAAGACAGAACACGGAATTTTCCTTAACCCCCTGTAAGAATGAGAAGCCCGAGGTAGGGAAGGGAGATGGATGGGTTCTGGAGGGATGAGGACCCTGGCTGAGATATGATTCCACTGAAAAGTGCTGAGCGGGCCGGGCTCAGTGGCTGTAATCCCAGCACTTTGGAAGGCTGAGGTGAGTGGATTGCCTGAGTCCACGAGTTCAAGACCCGCCCGGGCAATTTGGTGAGACTTCGTCTCTGCAATACATCAAAAATTAGCTGGGCATGGTAGCACATGCCCGTAGTTCCGGCTACTTGGAAGGCTGAGGTGGAAGGATCGCCAGAGTCCAGCAAGTGGAGATTGCAGTGGCTGGGAGCGTGCCACTGCACTCCAGTCTGGGCGATAGAGTGAGACTCCGACTCAAAAAAAAAAGAACAGAAAAGAAAAGTGCTGAGTGACCTTGGACACGTTCTCCTCCCTGGACCTCTGCTTATGTATTTGTAAGGAGAGTTTGAGTCTGATCTGTGGTTCTCACACGGGATCAGTCATCGGAATTCCTTTGCACATCCATCTGTGTATTTGTTCATTCACTCAACAAATGTTCATTGAACAAAAAGCTATACTCTGTCAGGCACTGTATCTCACGGCAAACAGGGGTGAGAAAAGAAACTCTTTCCCCCTCTCAGGAAGCTTCCTTTCTAGTCCAGAAGACAATCGGTTGGTTAATAGACATGTAAAACGATCATTTCAAATCGTGACAAACGTGATGAAGAAAGACACCACACGCCACTGGGAGTCCCATCACAGGTGAAGAGGGAACAAAACAAGAGAAGGGGGTCAGGGAGAGTATCTCTGAGAAGGTGACACTTAAATGAGGAGAAAGAGCTGGCCATACAGAGACCTGGAGGAACAGCATGCCAGGTAGAGGGAACAGCAAAAACAAGGTCCTGAGGCAGGAAAATGACCCACTTAAGGAACAGCGAGGAGGCCATGTGGCTAGAGCAGTGGAAGAGACAGAAAGAGAAGAAGGAGAGGGATTGAAAGAGGAGCAGAGATCAGATCATGATGAGTTGTTTAGTCCTGGCAATCAGTTTGGATTTTATTCTTCCCCCTGTAGGAGACTGAATTACTCAGGACGTTTCTTTAAGATGCAAATTCCTGGGTCTAGCCTCTTTTGAGATTCTGATTTACTACAGCTAGGAATCTGCATTTTTCTTTTCTTTTCTTTTCTTTTTTTTGAGTTGGAGTCTCACTCTGTCGCCCAGGCTGGAGTGCAGTGGCACACTCATGGCCATTCCAGTGTCAACCTGCTAGGCTCCAGCGATCCTTCTGCCTCAGCCTTCCAAGTAGCCAGAACCACAGGCACGCGTTACCATGCCCAGTTAATTTTGTACTTATTGTAGAGAGGAGGTCTCACCAAGTTGCCTGGGCTGGTCTTGAACCTGCGGGCTCAGGCAATCCTCTCGCCTCGGCCTCCCAAAGTGCTGGAATGACAGGCTGAGCCACCAAGCCTGGCCAGAATCTATTTTTCAAAGCTCCTCAGGGGCCTCTGATACTACTCCTTGTATACGCTTGCTATTCCTTCTGCTTGGAGCACACTTCCCACTTCCCACTGATACCTATGTAGGAGTTACATATGACTATGCAAGAAATTATCCCAAATCTTTGTGGCTGGAAACAACAATAGGCAGTTATTGTGTTTCACAGCTTCTGTGAATCAGAAGTTTGGCTGGGGGCTTCTGAATCACTCTCTCATGAGGTTGTAGTCATCTGTCAGCCAGGGCTGCAGTCTCATCTGAAGACTCAGCTGGAACAGAGAATTCACTTCCACAGTGGCTCACTTATATGGCTGGCAAGCCGGTGCTGGCTATTGGCAGAAGGCCTCAGTTCTTCTTCACATGTGCCTCTCCAAAGGACTTCCTGAGTATCCTTACAATATGGTGCCTGGTTTTCCCCAGAAAAATCAGTTCAAGAGAGCAAGGCAGCAGCTGGCTTTTGTGGCCAAGTCTTGAAAGTCACACATGACTACTACCACATTCTGTTCATGAAAAGTGAGCCACTAAGCCCATCCAATATTCAAGAGAAGAGAAATCAAGTTCCATATTTTGATCTTTTGATGACAGGCGTGTTGAAGAATCAGTGAACATTTTCTAAATCACCCAAACTTCAAGATTAGTCTTGAATCTTTCAAGTCTCTCTTCCCTCATTAGTCCTCAGGAAGGCCTTCCTTGATTACTTTATGCAAAAGAGCAGCCACCTCCTCCCATTTTTCTAGCCTTGTATACTGCTTTATTTTCACAATAACTTATTACCATTCAATAAGCCATACTTGTATTTGCTTCTGTGTTTATTATCTGCTCCCACATCTAGAGTGTAAATCCATGATCGCAGGAGACATCTCTGTCTTGTTCACTGCACCTCCACACCTAAATCTGGCCTGGGCACATTATAGACACTCAGGGGACTAGAGTTAATGAATGCAGGTTAGCCTAGATCAGGACAAGGATGGGAAAAGGCAAGCCTTGCTGGGAGACAGGCAGGAACTGCAAGCTTTGAGTTGTCTGACCACAGGCAGGACAGTATTCCATAAGGAAAAAGGACAGGAGCAAAGGCATGGAAATAGAGACCTCATAGTGGGAGAAGAGGGGTAGGGAGGTTTAGGGAAAATGGAGGCTGAGCAGGACAGAAGGGAATTTTGGAAGTGTAGAGTTGGCAGTGAGGAGGTCTGGGAGGCCCTAACTAGAATCTCCATCCCTCCTGGGCTTGCAGTATCTCCTAGCTCTGCTTCTAAAGATACACCTGATAAGCAGCGGACAGAGATGAATGAATTTTGTGCTCTTCCTTCAATATTGACTGAGCTTGGCTTGCTCTCCTAGAAGCCCCGAGGAGCAAGGGGCTTATCAGATGCCTTCCTCCTGAGTGTTAAAACTAGCCTCCGTGCACTGATGCAGGAGCCTGGTACATGAAAAATGCTAATGCCATTGATCAGTGCTTGTCCTGGGGTCTGAAGGTAGGGTGAGTAAGGAGGTGTGCTCACCGGGTGGCACCACATACACCTGCGACTCTCCAATTCCTGATGCTTCCTGATGAGGAGACAGGAATTGGAGTGACAGCTTCTTCAGAGCCTGAGTGACTAGGCCACTTCTTTTCCCTCTTGGGGACTCCAATAGAGGTGGGACTCATAGGTGACTTCCCAGTATTATTTGGAGCCTGTGCCAGTGCAGAAGAAGGAACTTTAGGCCATCATGGAAACCACTGTCCCACGTAAGTGGCTTCATACTTGTTAAGGACACCAGATTAAAAATTTGGTTCACAAGGAAATAAAAACAAAGGAAACTAACAGACCTATGCCTTTCTGCTCACTTACATTATCTCATTTTATCTTCACAAAAATTCAGCAGTACATGAACTGATGTGATGCCCTATTTTATAACTGAGGAAACTGCCAGTCAGAGGTGTTGAGTGACTGGTCCAGGTCCTATATGCTCAATGTTGAAGACAATGTTGAAATTCAGGTGTACATGGTCCATACACACAAAAAAAGGCAGAGAAATGGAACAGAAATGACAAAGGGAGTTTACATTAATTCCATTATGTACTGGCCTCCAAAATATATTTTATATATACATATATGTAAAAAATATATATCTGTATAGTTGTTGTTGTTCAGAGTCTTGTTTTGTCACCCAGCTGGAGTGCAGTGGCATGATCATGGTTCACTGTAGCCTTGACCACCTAGGCTCATGAGATCCTCCCAATTAAGCCACCTGAGTAGCTGGAACTAGGGGTGTGCACCACCATGCCTGACTAACTTTTTTATTACTTTTTTTTTGTAAAGGCAAGGTCTTGCTATGTTGCTCAGACTTGTCTTGAACTCCTGGGCTCAAGCAGTTCTCCTGCCCTGGCTTCCCAGAGTGCCGGAAATACAGGCACGAGCCACCGCACCCAGCCCAATTATATCATAAGAAAAAAAGTGAAATGTTCATTCTCAGCATCACCCTGTGATTTAGTCATAACAGAATAAGCTATACTGCAGTAACGAAATAGACCTAAAACTGAGTAATGTAACCTACTTTTGTTTTATTTGGTTTTACTTTCTCTCTTGGAAAGTCTGAAATGGTTGAGGCATCTCTCCTCCATTAAATAGTTTCACATTTCAGAATATGTGGCCTCTAAAGTCACTTTTATAGAGGAGGTGAGAGCTGGAGAAGGCACACTGATCTTGATTGTTTTGAGCTAGAAATGATGTATGTTCACTCCGGCTTGGAGACCATTGGCCTCAAACTAGCTGCAAGGGAAGCTGGGAATATTAGGAAGTCTATGAATATTTAATGAACACTGAATGTCTCTGTATATCCTAACACGTTTGCCTCCTTATTTCTTTCCCTGTAGGACAGAGCCCCAGAGCAGCCCCACCGTAGTCCCATATCAGGATGGACCCTCAGAAAAGTTGGGTCAGCATCTGGCCACCGAGGTTTTGGGCACTAGCAGCTGGGAGAGAGACAAGGCCTGTCGGGAGCCAGGTCCTGTCAGAACACGCAGGTAAGATGCTGCCCCCTCTTCCTCTCTTCCATCCCATGGGAAGTTCAAGTTGAGGACACAGAAATGAAATTTGCCTCTCTGGCCTCTTCTCTCCTCTCTCTTTTGCAAGTTTCTCTTTCAGACCCTTAATGCAGGGTTTAATAAATGTTTTCTGTACAGAACTAAAGAGTGTATATTTTAAGTTTGTGGATGCAGTGGTTTCTGTCACAACTACTTAACTCGGCCATTGTAACACAAAACAGTCGTAAACATTATGCAGACAAAAAGATGTAGCTGTGTTCCAATAAAACTTTATTTATAAAAAACAAAAGGCAAACCATATTTGGCCTGCTGGCCAGTTTGTTGACTCCTACTTAATTGATAGAGTTCCTCTTTCATTTTAATGACTCAATGAACCACTGACTCCCAAATCATGATTTCAGTCCAGACCTGTCTCCTGAGTTCCAGTCTGGATTTGTTCCTTAATTCAGTTATTCGGCTAGTACTTTTTGAGCACCTGATGTGTAAAAAGCACCGTGTTAACATACGTATACAGCTAGCGCTGTACATGGATTTTGTATAAAATATTGTATATTCAGCATCTTATTGTGACTGAGAGAGGTAAAGTGACTTGCCCCAAATATGGCAGCCAATAAGGTTTGGAATTCCAGACTCTCTAATCTTAAATCCTGGACTAAAACCCACCGCATTATCCTGGTGATGCTAATGAAAAGCCAACCTATCTGCTGCCTTCTATTTTCCAACTTTGTACCGTACACATATAAAGCCTGGCCCATCTTTGAGCTCTGGAGAACCTGATTCTAAGAGACATAGTTACTGAATTTTGGGGAAGTGGCTTGGGAAACTGGTGCAGCTCCACCTTGGCTGCCAGCTCAGCTACAGTCTTGAGTTAGGCTATGATTTCAAAGAGAGAGAAACAGTCAAGTTCTATTAGCTTAGAGAAGTGAAGTTCAATCACCAATCTAAAGCGTTCTCGCCAGGAAACAGGAAGGAAGTTGTTTCCACGAGAGGTGGAGGAAGATGGAGAGAGAAAGGGGATAAAAAGCTAATTTCCCCACAATTTGCCATTTTTAATTTTTAAATAAGGCTTAATGTACAAGTGTAAAACTGATCCTTTTTAGTGTACTGTTTTGTGGGTTTTGGCAGCACATGGTCACCATCAAAATCAAGATCTGTAGCCCCTGGTAACCATGAATATTATCTCTGTCCCAGGATTTTGGAGATTGACTCTCCACAATGTCTTATAAATGGAATCAAGCAGTATGCAGCCTTTTGAGTCTAGATTCTTTCACCGAATGCATACATAGGGCATTTGTGATTTAATTTAAAACATCAACTCCTAGACAGCTAAAGGGGAGTCTGTGTGTTCAAATCTGGGCCATATCACTTACTAAGTAAGCAACCTTGGCCACGTCCCTTTTCCCTGCTGGGCCTCAGGCGTTCATAACTACAAAATGGGAATATTGACATCTAATTCTTAAGGTTGAGATGAAGATTAAATTAGATTAGGCATGTACAGATCTTGGCAGCAAGCCTAGAACACAGGGATTCCTTAAACATGTTAGCGAGTGTCCTTTGAAACTGAAATAGAAGGTTCTAGGCGTGAAAATCTGAAAAACGAAGCTGTGTTACCAACTCTGTGCTGTGTCTGGGCCTCTTGCTCCCTTCTCTTATCTGTGACTGACCCTCTGACATGACAAACAATGATGATAATAATACCAACCACGGTAATAAAAGGCATGATGATTATAATAACAGAAGCTCGTTTTACTGCGCACTTACTCTTTGACAGAGCAGGGCACATCACCTAAGTCAGCTTCTTTATTCCTGTTAGCAAACAGGACACAGACACCGTGTTTATTCCCATCCTGCAGATCAGGGGTCCCCAAACCCCGGGCCGCGGACTGCTACCGGTCCATGGCCTGTTAGGAACCCAGCAGCACACCAGGAGGTGAGCAGTCGTGGGCATTAGATCAGCTTTAGATACCCCCAGCAGCACAAATCCTATTGTGAACTGCACATGCAAGGGACCTGGGTTGCGCTCCTTACGAGAATCTGGTGCCTTATGATTTCCCCCCAACCTCCATCCGTGGAAGAATTGTCTTCCACAAAACTGGTCCCTGATGCCGAAAAGGTTGGGGCCCACTGTTGTGGGTGACAGAAAGGAGAGGTCTCGGAGCCAGGAAGTAAGAGAGCTATACTTTGCATCTTGATTCGTCCGATTCTGAGCCAGCATCCCTTACTGCTCCAGACGCCACAGCATATGTACCCTCTGCATATTTCACCACAGTGTTTTGAACCACTATATACCTAAAGACTGCGTGTTTAACCACGGTATATGTTCAGAGCCACTGAGCACTTCACCACTGCGTAGTTAACCTCTGCATACTTCATCCACGTGTACTTAACCGCAGCATATTTAACCACTTAACTGCTGCCCATGTAACCCTTGCATACTCAACCGATGCACGTTCAACTACTGCATACTTAGTCACGGGTACTTGACTCCCACATATGTAATCACGGCATACAATGAGCTTTGGGTTCTTAATTCCCCCACAGGTAACCTGGGTGTATTTAACCACTACTCAGTCCCTCCAGAATAGCACACTGAGGAGATCAGGTGCAGGGGAAAGAAAGAGGTAGAGGAAATTCAGACCCACCTGGGTAAAGTGTAAAGTCGTTTTGGATTTGTTGAGGGGCTTGATAATTCCCACCTCACAGATTTCAGACCTCTCCAAGTTCAAGGGCTTTCTCGGTTTCACCCCATTACTTCAATCTGGGGCTGGGACAGTGATTCTCAAACTCTGCTCTCCTGGAGTTCCAGGAGTTAGAGGAGTTGTCTGAAACAATAGGACCTTTCCTTGTTTTATAGGACACACTTTTAAAAGATTTTTTTTTTTTCTGGAGTATCTCTCCCTTAATTTTTCCCCCTCAAATTCCTGGCAGCTGTTGCCTTGGGAAGTATTTCTGTGAAGCAAGATGATGTAACAAGAGGCTAAATTATTTCATTCATTCATCCCTCATTTGGTCACTCAGCAAATATTTTTTAGACTTTTGCTCCATGTCAAGTGTTCTTGGTAGAAAAATTTGAAAGTTGCCCACCATGTTTACACAAGCACCCTGTTTGCTTCCTGGTCATGAATACTGTGTTTTGTGCTTTATAACATGTAAGTGTAATTAAGTAGCCGGGTACTTAATTTATATTACGTTTATCTTTAAAGTGACTCTCTTGAAAACATTATAGATATAGCTATATGATTTTTATTTATTGGCGATACATAGACTTTAATATATATTCTAATCACTTTATCGTTCTTTCTACTAATCATAATAATCCAGATTCTTAAAATAGAATTAAGCATGGCAGTATTTTATGATACTCTGTAAAAAGTTGACCAATTTCCAAAGGATTGGCTACACAAACAAGTTTAGAAGAAAACTGGTTTTGTGAGAAAGATCTCAGGGTAGGAATTACACAGGCCTTGATTCTAATGTCAGCCTGGACACTTGTTAATTGTGTGGCCTTGGGCAAGTTAATGAAACTTTCTGTGCCTTAACTCCGTTTCTTCACCTATAAAATGTGACAATAAGAATCATACCAATTTCAAAGTGTTTTCATGAGTATCAGAATATATAAAACACTTGGCATATAAATGCAACAATGCTAGTGATGTAACTACTAAATAATGACAATAATATTATTATTAATGTTATGTTTTCCTAGTGAGCGTCAACTGGGTTGGCATATTTCAATTCCCAAGCAGCATTTCATCTAAAACCATCTCACTTTACCATGGGATAGCATTTTTAAAAAATCTTGGAGCCTGCCCCAATTATAAAAGGAGATAACTTGACTACATTTAACTGCAGCCTGAGCATTTGAATTTAATTGAACGAGAAATAATTATTCTTGAAGAGCAGAGGTTTTTGAGGTTCCATGAGGCAATATAAGATATGTATCTCGTTACATTAGACCTTGGCAAATATACTTTTAATAATCAGCTGTTGTTTAATATACCTTCCACTTCCCATTAAATTTCCAACAGGAACTACAGACACGATGTATTAGGGAGGGAAGGGGCTGAATTGCAGATGAATTATTTAAAAAGTGATTTATTTACCAAGGCGAGCCATTTGCAAGTTCTATAATAAATCTATTAAGGAGTAGTTAACCTCTATAACTCTGTTTTAAATAATCAATTGGTGTTTGGGTAACGCACAGCGTCTGTCTCATTAGGTCGGCATTAAGTCCTTATTTGAGGCACTTAATCTGAAGTGTGACCGAATCAGCCATGAGGTGGTAATTAGGCATTGACTATGGGGGCCTTGATCCTCCAAGAAACTGGGTCCTTCTCCAGCTGCACCAGCTCTGCTTGGGGGACTGGAGAGCCCTGGATTCTCTAACTCCAACCCCCACTCCTCTTTGTCCCTGGCAGTGCCTCCCGAGACAAAGACTTGACGCCACCGCCTTCCTCCAGGGGGAAGAAGAAAAAGAAGAAATCTACCCGGAAGAAGAGAAGGAGGTGAGGGCCCTCAGGGGGAGATGGGGAAAAGCACAAAATACGGGTTTCGAAGTCAGACAGTGATTCCCTCTTGGAGTTCAAATACCTCCCTGCCGCTTAACTAGCCGTGTGACCTTGGAAGAGTCTCTTCACATCTCTGCGCCTGTTTTCACTTCTACAAAATGGTGATAACCCCAACCTCTTGAGGTTTTGTGAAAAGTAGACGGGAAATAGTTACGGAAGCTGCTATCACAGTATCTGGCTCATAGTAAATGGTCAATCAATTGGAAGCATAGTCTTTACCGGAAACACTGAATTATTTTTGAGGGCAAGAGTATAAAGGACTATGCTGAGCACGGTGATCGCCATGATCTCTTTTACATGATCTACTAGCCAAGCATTATTGTCCCCACTTTAAAGATGAGAAAAGAAAGGCTCAGAGAAGGGGCAAGAGAATCTACAGGGACTTGATGCCAGGCTTCTCAGCTGGTTCTGCTATCTTGACATTGCTGATTAAGTGCCCAGGATATTGGTTTTTATATTTTTTGGGCCAGGTATTTACTCTTTTATAGCCTACTCCCTCCCTCCCTCCCTCCCTCCTTCCTTCCTTCCTGAGTTGGAGTCTCACTCTGTTGCCCAGACTGGAGTGCAGTGGCCACTCCTGGCCCCGCAGCCTCGACCTGCTGGGCTCCCGTGATCCTTCTGCCTCAGCCTTCCACATAGCTGGAACTAAAGGCGCGCGCTACCATGCCCGGCTAATGTTTGATTTTACTGTAGAGATGAGGTCTCGCCAAGTTGCCCAGGCGGGTCTGGAACCGCGGGCTCAGGCAATTCACTCACCTTGGCTTCCCAAAGCGCTGGGGTTACAGGCTGAGCCACCGAGCCCGGTCTATGCCTTTCTTAAATGCAATTCCTTTTCTTACTTAAAATATTTCTAGATTTGTTATAGACCACCACTAACTAGCCTAAAAGCTTGCCTGTTGCTCCAGTCCCAAAGAGGCCAGCTTAACCCAGGGCGCTGCAAGCTGAGCGTTAACACCAAACCTCTGAGGCAGTATTTATAGAAGCCTGCAGGGGGCAGCAGAGGCAGCGTCTGATGACGGGCTTGGACTCCAGGTTTTCTGGATGGTTTCGCCGACAGCACTTTGGCCTCATTCTAGAAGCACAGGCCCAAAGAGGACCCAGAGAGAAATGCAGATGAAGTCTCTGAGTTACAGACACTGTAGGGTAGGAAACAGAAGTGGGACACGTGGCTTGAGTTTCCTGATTTTAGCGGTGTGCTAGAGAACACTTTGAAGAAGGAAACAGCAGGCATTAGGATTCACTCGTTCAATAAACGCCCACACAGTATGTTTGAGGACAAGCATTACGATTCCTTGAGGGTCAAATTGTTCCTTGACCATTTCCCTCTGCAGATTTTTTTTAATTGGTATCAATAATTACAAATCAGGAGATTCCATATGAAAATCCAATTTTTTTGAGGTTTCTAATGAAAAGGCAGGTGCTCTGGAAGCCCAGGCCTGTATTCCCACACAGGACCCTCAGCTAATCTAGGAAGTAGCTTCTCCTGCCCCCTCTAGTCAGGTGCGCTCTGGTTCACCACAGTCCCCACCACTCCCTACTGTCTTCCACTCAGCTTGCTTCACTCATTTATGTTATCTGAGAGGATCCTGTTGAGTTCGAAACCTCCAAACTATTTCAACACTGGTCTTTCATCAGTGGGAAAATAAGAGATCTGGTGATGAGACATGACATGCCCAAGGTGACTCTGTGAGTTTGTGGTAGAGTCACAATTGGAACTCGAGTCACTTGAGGCTCAGTCTTGAGTCATCACCATGAACTTAGTCATCACCGAGGGTTTTTCAGATGACCCTTTGATGGCACTACCCATGCTGCTACAACCTGGTGAGATCTCCTCCAGGGGCCCAGTTTTACCAGGGAAACAACAGAGTGGGGCAGAGGAGAGACCCAAAGACTGAGAAGAGGGCCACAACATGCAGGAAGAACAATGGACAGAAACAAGCCTTTACAACCTGATTAGGAAGGCAATTATGGGGTGATGTGATTGAAAGCAAAACGCCTGGGATCAAAGAGGTTTCCATTTAAATCCCAGCTCATCCACTTCTTAGCTGTGTGCCTTTGGGTAGCTCACTTCACCTCTCTGAATCTCGTTTTCTCAATCAAAATAGGGAGGGGAACAATTGTACTTACCTGAAAAGTGTGTGGGAAGATTAAATGAGATAATGCTTATGAAACACAAGTAACTATTTATATTACCTTGTCAAAATTAAAATTAAAAGCATTAATTGCTGGAGACTATCATACTAAAGTGATCTATCACATAAACAAAGAACTGAATACCGAATATTCTTACTCAAAGTGAGACCTGAACATTAATCACATTAGCACAAGGGAGGGATTGGCAGTTGCTGGGCACTACTGGAGGTGGGAGGGGCCATGTAACACATGAGGGGGTACCTGTTCCCAAACCAGGGAAAGTAAGGGCCCATTGGAGGCCCAAACTTCACCTGCATGCAGCCTACTTGTGTAGTTAATCCTTACTTGTACCCTACATCTCTATAACAAAATACAATTTTTTTAAAGCCACTACAAATAAAAAAGGAATTTTTTAAAAATGTTAATTGCTTACTGATGCATGCTAACATCAGTACTGATAATATCCTTGATGTGTGTTCCTGAAAGAGCCATGACCTTTCCCAGGGACTGGGAAGGGCTCCTTTGAAACCAACAAGCATGATGGTTCCTTGAAGGTCGAATTGTTTCTCAGCCATTTCCTTCTGCAGACAGTTTTTTCTTTTTCTTTTCTTTTCATTTTTTTTTTTTTTTTGAGTTGGAGTCTCACTCTGTCACCCAGACTGGAGTGCAGTGGCATGCTCCCGGCCACCTCAGCCTGGACCTGCTGGGCTCCACCGATCCTTCTGCCTCAGCCTTCCCAGTAGCTGGAACTACAGGCGAGATGAGGTCTCGCCAAGTTGCCCGGGGGGGTCTTGGACCCAAGGGCTCAGGAAATCTCGCCTCGGCCTCCCAAAGTGCTGGGATGACAGGTTGAGCCACTAAGCCCACCCGACAGATTTTTCTAACCTGTAAGTGTATTGTTTTCATGGGTGGTCAACATTTACAAATCAGGAGATTCTGTATGAGAACATAAATTTTCCATACGAAAACATGGCCTTTAAGAGCCTCTCTCTGAAGCATGTCTCCCCTCCCCTGCCAGGTCCCCATCCTATAGCCCATCACCTGTCAAGAAAAAGAAGAAGAAAAGTTCCAAGAAGCATAAGCGACGCAGGTATTGTCCTTCCTTCTCTGCAGACGCTGCCACCTCAGGAGGGTGAGGGGACAGTGAATGGTATCAGAAGGTCACTCGGAAGCATATCATGTTATTTATGTGAGATACTTACCTACATCCTGTTATGGATTTGTGTCTTACATATGCTGGGACTCTGGCTGTGAGGACCAGAGGTCTAGCTCACACTAACTCAGGCCAAAAGCGGGACTGGATGATAACGAAACAGGAGGTGTCTCAGGGACCAGCCGGGCCTGAGCAAGGGGCTGGAACAAGGAGGGAAAGCAAGTCATTGACAGAATTGCTGATAGAACTCATACAGAGCCCTCAGTTGCCTCTGTTCCCTGCCACGTGGGTGACGTGGCTATACTCCTGCTCCATCTCTCTCCATGTGACACTGCATCTCTGTCTTGTTCTTTATTCCAAACTCCCAGGGAAAGGCCCCTCTTGTCGACCCCACTGTATCCTAGAGGGCAGGACCATGTTGAAAAACATGGCTGTGCTGGGATCGCCCACTCTGGTGGGTGGGGAGGTGGGGCCAGTCATTAGCGGGCATTATGAACTGGGTCCATGTTCTCAAAGGTGTCTGCTGTGCACACACACACTCACATGTACATGCATCTTTATGAGAGAGAAAGAAAAGACTGGAAGGATACACACTGGAGGACTCAGATTTGTGGTTCTTGGGCCAAGCCAACATTTTATAACTGGAAGATTTTGTGATATAAAAATCCAGCTTTCCAGTTACCTCATAGAGTCATGAGGCCTGTCTTTGCTGGGCCAGTTTTCCCACAGGGAGCCACACACCCGCTGAAGCTGAGTAGCCAGTCATTTAGACAGAGTGGGTACTCCCACTGGCCTCCGGACTGTCCAGTCTGTTCCACCCATTTACAAAGCCCTCTTGGCCCCTGGAGGCATGGCATTTGAAGCCTCCTGTATTAAGTTACTTGCTGCAGCTGGCTGTGGATGATAGGGAAAGAGTGGTTTATGTTGTATTTGTACTCACCTGTATCTTCCAGTTGTCTTATATCGATTGTGGGTTACTCGGGCAATTAACAACAGCGTGAATGAAAGGTAAGAAGAGGTCGTGTGAGTTTTCTCCTTGGATTTCAAGCCCAGTAACTTTGCTCCAGCATGGCTTTTCCTAGTCCAGGGCTTGTCCACATTTCAACCCAGTTTGCTAGAATGTTCTCAGATTCAGTTTGCTCTCACAGCTTATGTCCGCCACCTGCCCAGCTTTCCTGACTGATGGTCTCTGAGTTTGTGCTTCACACAAGCCACAGGCAGACCCATTAGTGAAATGTTGCTAATGTGGAGTTAGAGGTCTTTCCCAGCATGGAATCCTTTGCAGAGATCATGACCTGCGCATCACTCTAGACAGCTGCTTGTCACCTCACTGTGCTGAGCAACTACTCCCAATTTGAGGGATGGATGGGGGAAGAGAGAAGAACTTTTCCATATCTGGATCTTGGAAGCCAGGGTTGGCTTCTCGCTCAAGGGCTCCTTCTCATGAGAAAGAGACTGCACCAGAGGTGAGAAACAGGCTTTTACTGCCAGTGACAGTCACTACAGGGCTTGGTGCTTCAGAGGGGAAGGGGTTCAGAAGGTAGGAGGGGAAATTCTTTTTTGGATCGTTCCCAGACCCTGACCTCCTGAGCACCACCCGACTCCTGGTCCAGCTTCTCCGAGCTCTTGAAACGTTTGCTGAGTGATGGTTGACGTTTCTGGAGCTGAGAGCTAGGGGCAGGGAAGTACTGAGATTCTTTTTTATTTTCTCCTCCTTGAACAAGGCTTCAGAGTTTTACAAAATTCTCATTTTTTTCACATCTATTTATTGAATACCCATTATGTATCATGAATGAGGATTCCAGGCCCCAGAAACAGAAGAGTGACCAGAAGTGTATTCCAGCCCCTGACCTCAAATTGCTCACATCCTTGTGGGGGAAATGGGTCATTGTAATATGAGGAGGTCTGTACCCTAATCATGGTGAGTTCAGAGGCTCGCCCAGAGTTGGGGGGAGCAGAGAAAAGGCACCCGGCCAGTCTGAGTGGCTCAGAAAATGCTACAAGGAGAAGATGGCCTCCAAGTGGAACTCTGAAGAATGAGTAGACGCTACATAGGTGAGGCTGTGTGACCGTGGGCAGCTTAACTGACTTCTCTGATCTTCAGCATCTTTGTCTGTAAAAGAGTTGTTCCACGAGTAGGGGTGAAGATTGATTGAGACTGTGTGTGACAGGTGCTTCACAGAGAACCTGCCACACAGTTAGAGTGTCGCGCATAGAAGCTGGTTGTCTCATGATGATGGTGAGCAGGAAGGGAATGAATCCACCACCAGGGAGAGAGAAGGGGAAGGCAGAGGATGCTCTCAGATGTCTCCCCTCATCCAACCTCACCCAGGACAGGCTTATGATCATTTGGGGAGGGACTGAAGCACAAGTTGGCTCTGATCTGGAAATTCAGAATGTAGACCAATGTGTCCCTCACGGCCTTCATATGTGTCAAAATCTAAGGGTGGGTGGAGGATCGGCTAGGTGCCCTGACCCCGTGTAGCATGATCACAAGCACACATGAAGTGTGTTCATGCCAGGAAAAGAAACTTCAGACTCACCCATATTTATTTTCTTCCTCCCTCCCTCTCCCTTCTTTTCTTCTTTCCCTTCCCTCTTCTTCCCTCCCTCTCTTTCCCTCCTTCCCTCTCTCTTTCTTTCTTCCCTCTTTTTTTCCCTTTAATCAGGTCATTCTCCAAGAAGAGAAGGCACAGGCAAGTCTCTTGTTGTGGCTTTTCCCACTTTGCTTTCCCAGCAGGCTTTGGGCCGCTTCTAGGGCAGCTCAGATGCCACCTCTGTGTTCTTGGACATCCTGGGCCTCTGTTTCTCCAAAATGGAGGCCTGAGCTGGTTTCCCTGAATGTCCCTAGCCAGGCTTCAACTTCCATCAGGCTGGATGGTTGTTCTTAGACCAGCCCTGCCGTAGCCCCCCTGGAATGTCTGTTTTCCCATGGGTTGAAATCTTGAGCTGGAGCGCATAGGGAAACATCAGCCCCATCATTGCACCCAAACCTGACCAGGTCTAGCCAAGGAACAGAGGCCAAGTACTGGGATACTGGAAATATTAGGTGGGCACAGACAAAGCCATCACCAATAGAGTCTTCATTCTAAACTGGATCCTGAGCTAAGTTCCCCACCCCATGTGTGGATGTGTTTAATTCCTGTGAATCCCTACCATAGCCTTGTGCAGTGGATATGCGTATTGTTTCCATTTTACAGATGAAGAAACTGAGTCTAAGATAGGAGATGAAATCGGAATTTCCACAGACAGAGACAGAAGGTATCAGAGTCAAAATTCAACCCAAATCTGTCAGACGGTCAGGACAGGTGACACTAGCTTCTTAATTAAAATAGTCACATCTTGAGAACAGTTTGCAAAATGCAAAGCCCTTTCCTTTATTTGTTTAATAAGTAGATATTGGTTGACAGTGTTATCCATTCATTTAGCTCTACAGCCTGAGAAGTGGGCCCATTTTATAGTTGAAGAAACCAGGTTTTAGAGAGAACAGGTAACTTTCCTGATGTCACATAACAACTAGGAAGCAAAGCTGGATCTTGGATCCAGCTGAACTTGGATCTGTAAGACCATGTGCTTTTCCACTGCCTGTCTGAGTGTCAACATGGAGAGAGCTCCAATGGTTACCTTCAAGGTGTGATTCATTCGAATGAAATAATATTTCCCCACCCAGGACCTAGGCCAGTATGAGTTCTTGGTGACCCTCTCAAACAGGTCTGGCTTGAACGGCTAAATAGTGTTCACCCTCCCCAACCTCTATGTGATCATGCAGGGACCCTACTCAGACCCCAGCTCTCTGACTCAAAATTTTTTTAAACTCAGACACTTGACTGGGTGCAGAGTCTCACTGCACTTTGGGAGGCTGGGGCAAGAGGATCCCTTGAGGCCAGGTATTCAAGATCAGCCTAGGCAAAATATGGAGACATCATCTCCACCAAAAAAAAAAACAAACCAAAAACAGGCATGGTGGCATGCGTCTGTAGTCCCTGCTACTTGGGAGGCTGAGGTGGGAGGATCACTTGAGCCCAGGAGTTCAAGGCTGCGGTGAGCTTTGATTCCACCACTGCACACCAGCCTGGGCAACAGAGCCAAACCCTATCCATCCCAAAAACAAACAAACAAAACAGATACTTGAATAGGCATGAGCAGAGCATTTCAGAATTTACCAGGCTTCATGAGGGTTCAAATATCTTTCTGAATATTTAGTTCTCTTCTCTCACAAATTGATTGATCAGAAGTCAAGAGTATGGATTCTGGGACTCATGGTCTGGGAGCACATCCCAGCTCACCTGTGGGATCCTAGGTAGGTTTCTTAGTCCATCTGAGGTTCTGTTTCTGCATCTGTAAAATGAGCACTTATCAGACTGCGCCTCCGCCCATTGGTTGTGGGAAGAATGAAATGAGACTGTAGACAGAAAGTATTTAGTAACGTGCCCAGCCTGTAATTAAAGCCTCAAAAAATGGCAGGCATTATCTTTGCCTTTATTACGGCTGTCATTATTAACCGACCAAAGCCGAGCTTGGTGTCCTCTGTATCCTGTTGTGCATGCGTGTGTGTGTGTGTGTGTGTGTGTGTGTGTGTGCCAGTGTCCCCAGCTGACCCTGCCGTATTGTTCCGTGAACATGCTGGGGGTGATTCAGGCTGGGGCCGTGATGGGTGCCTATTCCTGAACTGCCTGGATCTGACACTGTGTGCTAAGCATTTTAAGGACTTGTTTATTTCTGTCTTTAACTGGAATTTTGCATCTTCCCATTAATTGGTCATTTCTTGTTTAGCTCCTCTAGCCCAAAAAACAAAAGACGGGAAGAGAAGAGGCACAAAAAGCAGTAAGTAGGCGCCACCAGGAACATGCTCTCTGGTTTGGGGGAGCCGGGGGGCCCTGGCCTCAGAGTGTGAGATCTGTCAAATAAATAGAGAAAGTGGGGAAGAGGAGGAGTGGGTGAGAGGAAAGAAGGAAGATAAAGAAAGAGAGGGAGGGAGCGAGAGACCTAACTGAGTGTGACATGTAGCTGTAGCTTGAGACATGGTTGAGTGCACCAGGTTGCACGTACATGATGTGTATACGTATGGAGGTATGTTTGTGTGTGCATGAAAGCATACAGTGTGCATGTGTGTGCCTGGCATGCCCATGGTATGTCCCTTGTGTATACTCATATATTTACATGTAATGTGTATATGTGTGGTGGGTACATTGTAAACATCTGTACATTTTACAACGCACAAACGTGTATACAAATATATACAATGTGGGCACATATATGTATATTTTGTGTTCACACCAGTGCATTTGTGTGTCAGTGCTTATGTGAGTGTGAATGCGAATGGTTTGCAGAGAGTGTACTGAATTCTGTGCATTCTGTATATGCACTGCTGATCTATCTGTGTGCCTTATGTGTGCAGGGGTCGTGTGGTAGTTTTTACCTGTGTGCATGTGTGTGCTGTGTGTGCATGGGAGGTCCTGGAGGTGTGATCACCTGTGTGCACACATGTGTATGAAAGTCCATGTTCTGGCTGTTGGATTTACAGTGCAGAGATATCAGCGAAGCTCCCAGCCCCAGTCACGGGGCTCCAGCTGTTTCACGGTTTATAGCTGGTAGTAGAAATTCAAATCAGCCAGTGCTGCCTGCGGAGTTCAGTTCCCAGCCAAATTAAAAGTGAATTTGGTTACAACCCACCTACTTTATACCCTGCAAATGTTAGTGCTTGTGTTTTCCAATCAACCAATATTTTATCTCCCGCCAAGAAGCTTCTAAAGAGAGGATCAAAGACAATAAGATGAAAGGTAGTTGGCTGCTGGGGAGGGAAAACAGGAGACAGGGATGCAGAGGGAGGGTACCTGACTTTGCTGCCCCAAAGGGTCTCTTCACCCAAGGTCAATGCAATGGAGGGCATTTCAGCCACCTCCCCGGGGGCCTGTGAAATGCTCCAGAAGAAAACAGTAGAGCCTTGAGTTAGCTCAGGGAGGAATTTCCCCATCATCAAATGTGTTCAGTTCAAATCAAGAGACTATTAGTGTCCGTATGTATTGAATGAGCTTTCATGCTAAGCACAGATTCAGCACATGTTCTTAGAGATCCCAGCATCCTGTGATCAGTGGGGTCACAGGAAAGGAAGCTGCAGAGTCAGAAACTGGACCCAGATCTCAAGAGCCCTGGGAAGGACCATCACTGAGACAAGGCCTGCCCGCCTGAGGCCAACAAGGTGGTCACCCTCCTCGGTACCAGTTTCTGGGAGGAGTTCCAGAAATTGCTAGGCAGGCATCAGAAAGCTTGTGCAAGCCAAAGACAAGAGCCAGGAGAGTTAAGAGCAAGAAGAACATGGCATCCTGAAGATAAACCATGGCTCACTCTTGCCAGAGCTCATGATCAGAGCCGCTTCTAGCCACATAGTCACTGGTGTAAGTTGGCATCCTTTAATTCAACACCCCTTAGTGAGGCCCTCATGTGTGGCTGGCCCTGTATTGGACCCTAGGACAGAGATGAGCCCAGCACTGTCCCGGCCTCAAGGAGCTCACGGTGCAGCAGGGCACAGGAACCAGTCCTGGAGCAGGTCACGGCACAGCTGAGGGAAGCCCGGGCATTTGGAAACATGGATGCTGGGCAGAGGACTTTATGATGAAGATGGCTTCCTGCAGGAAGGAGGTGTCTAGGCTAGGGGCGAAGACGGAAGGTAACCATTCCTGACTACAGGTTAGGCAAGTGATTTAAGTTCTCTGTTCCTCAGTCTCTCCATCTGAAAGATGGGAATCATAAGAGAATGTACCTCATAGGTTGTTCTAAGGAACAAAAGAGTCCCTTTAAAGAAGAATGCTTAGAATACAGTGCATGGCATGAAGTATGGGTTAAACACAGGTTACCTGTCATCATCATCATTATCCCAAGGGCATCGTGAACTGGGAAATGCGTGAGCCAGAATATAGGCAATTAGAGTTGCTTGAGCCCACCAGGCCAAGGCAGAAGAATCAAGGCTAGAGAACTAGGCAGGGGTTAGCTCCTATAGGTGCCTGGGGTTCAAGATTAGAGATTGGACTTGATGTGAGGGCCATGGGAAGGTTTTAAGCAGAAAAGGAATATGATCTGGTGACTACATTACAAGACTCTCTGAATCCTTTGTTGAGATAACCAGGTTACCTCCCTATAGAATCATCTCTAACTCCTACTGGCTTCCTGACTTGGCCCAAACCGTTAACATTTTTTAGACATTCTTAATCACCATTGCTTCTGCTACTACTATTTTTGAGATGTTATTATTACTTAGAAGTAGCTGAAGTAACCTATAGTAATATTATTATTTGTGGTAGTAGTAGTAATTGTTGTTCTAATTTTTGCTGATAATGAGGTTTGTAGCCCATTCTGAAAGGCTTTTGACTCCACGCTAAGAATCTGGACTTAATTTTCCAGGTCTGAGGTTACAAATTGACAGCCCAAAGGCTTAATTTACTCTGCAAATGTGTTCTGTTTACCTGAAAAGGTGACTTTTAAAGAAAAATAAGCTTCCATTTAAAATATAAATATTTTACATAAAAATGTGTATTTCCACATTCACTTAAAAATTAGAAGATCCAGCACCACACAAATATTCCAGAGGCAAAACAGTTCCTTCTGTTTCAGCCCAGGCTTTCGTTTGATACTGTTTTGGGGCCTGCCTGACTCACACATTTATGGTCCCTGATTGGCCCCTGATGTTCTGTGAAATTGATACTCCTGCCTTCAGTGGGGGTGAGGAGACGTAGGGAGGTGATTTTCTCCCCAGCGTGTCACCGAAGGAAGGTGAAGGGCCTTGAGTCATCCACGCTCCCTCCAGAGGACCCCTTCTGCTCACCTGTGTTCAGTGCAGCTGGTTAGAGACCCCTGAATACCCAGGCAGGAAGCTGGAGTTTCCGGGGAGATGGATAACTTTGGGATGGAGGCGACCCAGGTGCAAGAGAAAACGTGTGTCACAAGATCAAATCAATCTCTCTCTCTCTCTCTCTCTCCTCTCTCTCCTCTGACTCATTCCTTCTCATCTTCCCAAGATCTCGAAGCCGGCCCCGAAAGTCTCACCGCCACCGCCATCACCGCTGCCCCTCACGGTCCCAAAGCTCGGAGTCCCACCCATCAAGCTGTGAGAGCAGGTAATGCCTCATCCCCAGGAACCCTAACCCCCAGGAACCCTCTTGCCAACTCCCGCCCCACCCCCCCACCCGCCTAGTGCCTAGAGCCTGGGCTAAGAGGCTATTAGCACCAGCTTGGCTTCACTGTGGCCATCCCTGTATGGGGCCGCCGCCCCACCACCAATCCTCCCCACCCCCCCACCAGCCCCCTGCCTGGCACTCAGCGCTGAACAATTCCCTGAACAGAAAGGGCTGCAGACCAAAGGGGCTTGCTGCCACTGCTTGTAGAAAACCAGCAACAGGACGAGTTAACCTGTGCGCTTTCTAAGTGCCTGAGGCACCATGCTTTTATAGTCACTCCAGGATCAAGTAGGTACTATCGTTATCCCCGAAAAAAACTAGCCAGGCTCGGTGGCTCAGCCTGTAATCCTGCCCCTTTGGGAGGCTGAGGTGAGTGGAATGCCTGAGCCCACGGGTTCCAGACCCGCCTGGGCAGCGAGACCTTATCTCTACAATAAATCAAAAAATCAGCCGGGCATGGTAGCGCATGCCTGTAATTCCGGCTACTCGGAAGGCTGAGTCGGAAAGATCGCCGGAGCCCAGCAGGTCGAGGCTGCGGTGGCCGGGAGCGGCCACTGCACTCCAGTCTGGGCAAAAGAGTGAGACTCCAACTCAAAAAACAAAAAAGATGAAAAAAAAACTGAGGCACAGAAGGGTTAAGGAGCTTGCTAGTCCTTTAGCAATTACGTGGTGGGCTTTGCACTCTCACTAAGAGACAACTCGAAGCACAGATAGGCTAAGCAACCTATGAAAGGCCACATAGCATAAAGTACCAAGTTCATTTTAAGGCCCTTCTAAGTCAATTTTCTCCTAATCTGGACCCTCACTGAGAAAGGGGAGAGGGGTTCTCTCCTTGATGAGAAAAAGAAGAAGAAAAAGAGGAAGAATAAGAACAACAAGAAGGAACTGGGGCTTTGTGGATGTTGATGTTTGGAATTGTTGACATCCGGTGGGAATGCTGAGGCCTGCTTGCTAGAACCAGGCCAGCTTCCAGACATCGAGAGCTGCTTTTCTCTTTCTCAAGTGTTTCTTACACTTGACTATATATTCACATCCCCTGGGGAGATTTAAAATCGTATTGTCTTGGCCCCACTTGATACCAAATAAAGCAGAATATCTCTAGCGAGAAAGAGAAGGAGGAAGAAGAAGAGGAGGAAGAAGAGGAGGAGAAAAAGGAAGAGGAGGAGAAATATTTAACCAGTTCTGCTCTGTGCCAGGCACTGTGCTAAGGTTTCAAGTGTGCATCGCCCCCTCATCATCACCATCACACCATGCACTAGACCAGTGCTTCTCTACTGTGGGTGCACTTTGTAATCATCTGGAGTGTTTTAAAGTGTTTTAAACGATATCGATGCGTGGTTCCCACCCTCTAGACATTCTGGTTTCCTTCAGATGCAGTGGGGCCACAGCAGCAAGATTTTTAAATTTCCCTAAGTGATGTGTTTGTGAGGCCAAGGGTGGGAAGCTCTTGAGAAAGAGGCCCCTGGTACCCACCAGCATGGGCAGGCATCGGTGTTCCCGCTGAACACCCACAATGTCAAAGAATATCACCATCCGACAAGGTTAATAACTGTGACTCTGATTGGTCAAGACAAAAACAGTACTCCTCCATCATCAATTCTGAGTCCAGACAAGATGAGAACATTGTGTAAAACAAAGGTGGCCAAGCGTCTCTCTATCCTGGCTAATATGAGTGACTGTTGCTTCTTCAGAAGTTATAACCTTGGCCTTGGTCTAGTCATCCCTCTTTCTAGCTAAGATTGATGGAGATGCCTGGTCAGAATTACCCCTGTTTTCTGGCAGCATCCAGTCTAGAACAAAGACGCTTCCCCAAGTCACCTGCCAACAAATGCTGTAAGAGTTTTTTCTAACGCCCTCTTACAGAGATGTTCTCCCCCTCCCCAGGGTTGCAAGGAGCAACAAACACACTTGCTCAGTCACAGGTGGGCTTCTGGTGACCTTTTCCTGGAGGATGTTGGCCTGCTGAGCTAAACCACACCCTGACCCATGACAGCAGGAAAAAACAAACAGATAACAACAAGAAAACACAACTACCTGTTGGTGGACAAAGGAATCTGAGTGAAGTCACGTGCTAGGAAGTGTCTGGCAGAGCTGGAACAAGGAAACAGGTCCGCATGACTCAGCCTGAGCCCTTCAGCACTACCCCAGGCTGAATCAGCTCTCTGCAGCTCAGCCCTACTGACCTGGGCCAGAGGACCATGCAGGGCACCAGAAGCTCACCTGTTAGAGAAACGGTTCACATCACAGACTCCACCTAAGGCTTCCTGTGCTGTCTCATCTCCTGGTAGTGGTGCCATCTGAGATCCCCAGTGTCTGTTGGGCTTAGGGGCTCTCCAGAAGGCATAGGAGCAAACTGGGAGCTGGCACACAGACCCCGTAGAAATGTGATCTGGAAGCCCCAGAGAAGAAAGGGCCACTTCGGGGCAACAACCAGAGGCATCAGTTCTCCCTGGCCCTGGCCCTGGCTCTGCCACTTTCAAGCTGTATGAATTCAGGCAAGTCCCTAAACATCTCTGAGTCTCAGCTTCTTTTTCTGTGAAATGGGAAAAGTAATACCTGCCCTTTCTACGTCTTAAAGTTGTAGAGAGGACTGTGAAAGTACCTTAAAAGGGATTTATAAGTGTCATGTAAATCCAAATGGCATTATTTTTATTACTCGTGTGGCTCAGAGATCTAACGGTATATGCAGAGTTCAAATGGACCCTAAGAAGTCAGACATGCCTTTGGTTTCTACTGCAGACGAAGCAGCCAGGTCCAGAAAAACTTGCAGAAGGCCATCTCTGTTGTTTTTGTCAGCCATTTCGTCAGCCAAGTGTTGGGTGACAGTCAGTAGGATACCTCTGTCTCACAGATGGTGAAGTCACATATACAAAGACACACAGATATACACAGTTACATTTATAGACAAACACATGGAAACACAGATGGACACACCCAGACATACACATAGTAACATGACAGACAATCACAGGCACACAAAAGACAGTAAACTGAATCAGGATGAGGGTCTTTTCTGTTTTTACAGCTGCATCCCCAGACCTCCAAGCAGTGCCTGGTACATGAAGTAGCATTTTTTACATGCACAAATGAGCGAATGAATGAATAGGTGGGTGGGCAGATGGATACCTGCATGGGTGAATGAGTGGGTGGTGGATGGACAGTTGGATGAAT